CTGTATCTATATTACAGAGAACACAAATTTACCTCTGCTTCAGCCCATGGTTTTAAGTCACTGAAATATTTAAAACATTGTGTTCCAAATTTCTCCCAGCCCTTGGGGCATTTTCGACCAATGTCGGAAGATTCTGCAAAAAATATTGAATAAAAATTAGGCATTTGTACAAAGGGATTGATGAAATGTATGAATGTAAAGGGAAATTCTGTCTATATTGTTCATTTACCTTCAGACTTGACTCCATTTACAACCAACGCAAAAAGTAGGAATGCTGCAGAAATCCACATGCTGACAAAGTCCTATTAATATCAACATTATTATAAATATAATGTAACGTATGTATGCATTAACAAGTTTTAAAACACTAAAAATGGAAATACAATAAATAAAGTCATACCAAGTGAACCAAAATTCAACTGGGCAGGCTGTAATACTTGTTGGTATAATACTCAGATCATTGCTTGAAATCAGCTTTATTTATATCCAGTTGCTCAGTCACAAATGTGTGCAGCTGGTTCAACACCAATGAAAACTTTTCAATCTATCAGTCCTTATTTGGTAAACAAGACCTGATCCTTAACATCCTCATTTTTGATGTTGCATTGAGTTGCATGTGAAATTCTGTGCAATATTCTTAGCTGATTACTGCTATTTGAAATAAAAGCAAACTAACAAAAATAATCACTGTAAATGGATTAATTGAAGCTGTAGGATTTTGCTTTAATAGATGTGAATACCAATTTATATGATCGGATATCATATTTCAGAAGATAGTCTTATGAAATGGCAAATAAAACAGTGAGGTCTGTTAACTTTCATTTTACCTGCTGAAAATGTGATGTGAAAAGTCTATGTGCAACCTAATTATTTGAAGAAAAAAAAAAGTTTTTACTTAAGTATCCTGTTTACTTTGAACTCAATTAAATATTCATTGTGCATTTAAAAAAATCAAATGTTCAATTCAAGTTTAAATTCAATTCAAGTTTTGTATGGTAATAATCAAAATAGTGTTCACATCTGTCATTCAATTTTTAACCAATAGCCCATAGAGAAAACATGGATATTAATTTTAATTAAAAGGCATTAAACTTTTGTATAACAGTAAATATGATATATTTTACATTTTTGCATATGATGGGTATGTCTTATCATTCTAACATTTCTATTTTTTGTACTAAAAATCATTAAGTCTGAGTACGTTATATTCATGATGTATTGAAAAATGAAAAAATATACATTAATTTAATACAATAATGCTTGCAGAAGCTGCAAAAGAAAAAAGGAGACTGTAAATATTACACAATTTGCAAAGTTCAACTGTTAAAATGTCATGATGATTTTGCATTCATGCCATTATCTTTATCAATCACACCCAGGATGTTATGTGAGTATGAAACATGTTTGCTAAGTTTTGTTTATTACAGTTTAAGAGGGTTTTGGCCACACACTTTTTTAAGCAAGTCTTATTATATATTATATTATTATTATTATTATTATTATTTTATACAAGTGGATATGGCAACACAATTGAGCACACTGCAGGCTATAAACACATTAACAAAACTTAGTATTACTCTCTTTACTCTATTTAGAAAGAAACATAAGAGGAAAAGTTGATTTTGTGGTGGCTGTGCTTCAAAGGGGACATCGGATGCTCATTTTCCACAAGTTGGTATCCTCCTGACTACCAGCTGTGGAGTTTTATCCACTGCAGAGGACATTATGTTTTAGCTATTTCTCTGAGACGTTACATGTCACAGTTTTAAGTCTGGATGTCCGGTACAGAGCACATTCAGGGCTTTTCAGAGATAACAAATGATTGGATGTTTCACCATGACCACTCCCTCTCCTTGATCTTTAAAAATGGCTGACATTCATTTAGTGATCAAATGTAACACCCTAATGGAAATATGATAATATTTTGTAATTATCATTTAAATCTGACTAACTGTCAAAATGTTTGTCATAAATCAACATTTCAGGAAAATGTTATGGGGTTTCGAATCAAAATATGATCTTCTGTTATGAAACAGGACATCAATTTCATACATGTCCACTGTAGAGGACACTAGGACTTAAAGCATGTTTATTACACATTTTGGGAGACACAACAAATGAATAGAGAAAAAAAATATTTCAATATTTCTATTAAATATGAGATATTATTATGAAAATCTTGCTAATTATTACTCCCATTATTGCACTTATTTGTTCATGCTATGTTGCCCCAAAAACATATTAATATGCAAATTAGATACAGTTTATTGATATATTGTATATAATGGAAAAACTTGTTTATGGCCATTTTATACACATTTTGCATAAAGAAAAATGTTTTTTAAAAATATCTTTCATAACATAGTTGGCACATGTCTCTTTATTTTTATATTACTTTTTAAAGTCCCGATGTCCTCTACTGATGCGAGGTAGGGAGCGGGTCCCCCGTTGGTCCGTTCGCAATCGCGTTCCGGGGAGGGGGGTGTGTGGTCCCCCTCAGTCCGTTCGCCACGACCGCACCAGTTGCACCCCCCTAAGGACGGCCTTGCATGGTGGAGGGTGACTACGGTGCATTTTGTGCATGAAACAGCTCCACCTGGAGGGATCGTTACCGCATCCCTTGTGGTGAGAGCTTATACTGCTTCTGAACAAGCTGCATCCTCTCTGCATACCATGGCTGTCCTGCAGGTGTTCAGGCCAGTGGTCCCAACCTGGAGCATGCAGGAACTGTGTTCAGCAACTGACTATGCCCTCCGGGCTATGAAGGTCATAGTGCAGGCTCTGGGGAGGGCATTGTCCACATTAGTGGTCCAGGAATACCACCTGTGGCTTAACCTGGCAGAGATGCGGGATGCTGAGGAAGTGCGCTTTCTTGACGCCCCCGTTTCTCAGGTTGGTCTCTTTGCGACACCGTTGAAGAATTTGCGTAGCAATTCTCCACAGTTAAGAAACAGAGGCCTGCCTCAGCGTGAGTCAGTAGTAAATATAGGGGATCTTGTATGTGTTTTTGATTGATGATGACCTTGTGACCTCCGAGACCTTTCCCTCCTCCCCCCGTGACCTTGAGACCACCCACGTAGGTTCACCTTTGACCCTGGTAATAATTTCCAGATGTGAATATTGGCCTATTTGGCCAAATTTATGGTGTTTGTACAATTCCGATCGGTGACAGGCCATACATTTTTTTACTTTTTAGGTATGTTTTGAACTCTCACATCCGGGGTGCATCTGCGAACCACATATGGCAGTATATGGCAGCATATGACAGCATATGACAATGGTTGCATTCCATGACATGGTGTGTTATGCTCTCTCTTTCTGTCTATGGGGAAATGAGAAAAAATACACATACACACACATTCAAATGTCAGAGTAAAAGAGTCTTATTCTCTTCTTTTAAATTAAATGAATATATATAAACTATGTGATCACACATGATATGAAACAAAGCAAAACTTTTACATTAGTTTTAGGTGTTTAGTGTTCATAAATACATTGAAATGAATATCAACTTACAAATCTTTATAGTGACAATAATCGTATCGACGAGGACACGAAAAGTTCAGTAGGCTTTTTGCTTTAAATGAATGGTTATTGTCATGGTGTAAAGAACAGAAACTGCTCTTTGTTAATAACTGGAATCTTTTCTGGGAGCGTCCTAGGCTGTTTCGCGCTGATGGTCTGCATCCCAGCAGAGTCGGGGCGGAGCTCATGTCGGACAACATCTCCAGGACGCTGCGCTCCATGTGACTAGTAAGCCAAATCTCAAATAACTGCCCTGATGACTTGTGTTCTACCCGCTTAAATGATAGAAGTACTTGCGCTGTCCAATCTATAAAGACTGTGTCTGTTCCCCGAATAGTGAGGTCAAAATATAAATTTAATGCAGGATCTAGAAAAAATCTGAACGTGATTAAACCAGAACAATTTAAAATAAATGAACAAAAACCATTTTTAAAGTTTGGGCTCCTAAACATTAGATCACTCTCACCCAAAGCAGTTATTGTAAATGAAATGATCACAGATAATCGTTTTGATGTACTCTGCTTGACTGAAACCTGGCTAAAACCTAATGATTATATTGGTCTAAATGAGTCTACTCCACCAAGCTACTATTATAAGCATGAGCCCCGTCAGACTGGCCGTGGCGGCGGTGTTGCAACAATATATAGTGATATTCTCAATGTTACTCAGAAGACAGGATACAGGTTTAACTCATTCGAAATACTAATGCTTAATGTTACACTGTCAGATATGCAAAAGAAATCTATCGTATCTCTTGCTCTGGCTACTGTGTATAGACCACCAGGGCCGTATACAGATTTCCTAAAAGAATTTGCAGATTTCCTCTCAGACCTATTGATTACTGTTGATAAAGCGCTAATTGTCGGAGATTTTAATATTCACGTTGATAATACAAATGATGCATTAGGACTTGCGTTTACTGACCTAATAAACTCTTTTGGAGTAAAGCAAAATGTCACCGGGCCCACTCATCGTTTTAATCATACGCTAGATTTAATTATATCGCATGGAATTGATCTTACTGATATAGATATCGTACCTCAAAGCGATGATGTTACTGACCATTTCCTTGTATCGTGCATGCTGCGTATTACTAATATTAACTATATGGCTCCGCGTTATCGTCCGGGCAGAACTATTGTTCCAGCCACCAAAGACAGATTCACAAATAACCTGCCTGATTTATCTCAACTGCTCTGTGTACCAATAAGTACACATGAACTAGACGAAATAACTAGCAACATGGGCACTATCTTCTCTAATACATTAGAAGCTGTTGCCCCCATCAAATTGAAAAAGGTTAGAGAAAAACGTACTGCGCCATGGT